ATAGCAGAGTGTCTTTGCAGGTCTGGTAATACCAATAGGAAACGAGGCAGGCCTTCCAAGGATTCAGTTGAATCGATGTTGCTGGAAAAGAGAAAAAATTCTACAGTTTTCTCTCATGTACTACCTAAAGACGTTCGAAGAGATTCCATTATCCGACGTATGATCCAACTAGACAAAGATGTAAATTTCCCACTTGTTCTTCGTTTTCCCATATTAAATGCTCTAAAGGTGGTATACATTTATGTTTAAATAAAAACCATAATTGCTTTGTCTCATTTCATACCTAATAACTTGTTTGTAACTTAATGCTCAATGTACCAGATTTGATACAACTACTTCTTTGCTCAAGAAACGTAAATTGCTTCAACAATCAGCTTACCCTAACATTACTTTAGATTCCCCATCTTATTTCTCATTACCATTTCACTGTCCAACACTCTCTGAATCAATAAAAAACACTATCCTGAATTCTGTTGAAAATATTAAGATTTCCTTTAAAGTCAACAATAAATTGAGTAGATCATTATGCAATAGTAAGGACCCTATTGACTTCACCAAACGCAGTGGAGTTTATAAACTTTAGTGTTCTGACTGTGATGCCACTTACATCGGTAGAACTTGTAGATCTCTAGTAACCAGGGCCATTGAACATTCTAAGTTAGAGAACACTTCTTCTTTTTCACATCATCTTAAATATCACAACCACACAATCAAGGTACCAGATGATATCTCTCTTCTTCATAACATCCCTGGTAGAGATTATCTCAAACTTGACCTTTTTGAGGATTTGGAAATAGTCAAGGAAAAGAAAAATAGTCCCAATTGTGTTAATCGTCACACCAGCATCAACAGAGACTTCGTCCCACTTCATCGACAATTATTCTCCTAATCTAACTTTCTCTCTTTTAACTACCCATCCAATTTTACTTCACTTCTACATTTCTTTTTATTTCCCATAGCTAAATTTCAACTTACATAATCATTCATACTTAACTCTATACTTGTCACCATTAATACACTAACATCACCCCTTTGCCAATATCCAACTACCCATCCTCTCCAATAACTACCATCTCACTTATCATACACATTTTCTTATAAATATTCATTTTACATCTATTAATCTCTTATCACAATCAGTTTTAATATCCCCAGCTTACATCGTTATATTCACCTTCTATTTCCTTTTCTTGCTTTCTCGTTTATTTCTTTTTTCTTTTTCTTTTCCTCTACTCATCTTCCATAAATTACAATCCTACTTTTATATATACTCATTTAATCATACACATACAATCATACACATTTTCTTATAAATATTCATTTTACATCTATCGATCTCTTATCACAATCAGTTTCAATATCCCCAGCTTACATCGTCACATTCACCTTCTATTTCCTTTTCTTACTTTCTCGTTTATTTCTTTTTCTTTTCCTCGACTCATCTTCCATAAATTACAATCCAACTTTTATATATACTCATTTAATACAACGAAACAATTAGGTAATAACATCCTTTTCATCCCATTTAAAATGATTTATTAATTTTAACCACTTAAATTACATAAAATTTTTCCCTACCTTGGTATACCGATTTATTTTACATCGCAGTCACGCATTGATTTATATTCTCCCATCAGTTTTTTAAAATACCAAAAATTGCTTATGATCCTACTACACACAAAACACATTTCTTCACTAAAAACTGCCTACTCACAAACTTAAGCACAATGACTTTGCTCCTACCACATCATTCCTCTTGACATTGACGGGTACTAACTGATTTTTCATACCATCTTTCTATCAGTTAGCCCTAGACTCCAACACAGATCAGAGGTAATGTAAGTCAATAAAACCTCACCAACTACAGGGGGTCATATAAGATGCCCCCAGTTTCATTTTTTTTATATTACACAAGTCAAGAGTCTATTGCATTTACCTGAATAAATAACATGAAGATTATTATTTTTTAAATCCAGATGTCCATCGAATGTTTTTTATGTGGCCACACAATGTTTTTTAACAACCTTTTTTATGTAAGTAGTAAAAAACCAACTTTTTCTTTTTGTATGTTCAAATTTTAACTTTGTTGTTTTTAATATTGGTATTTTTACTCTCTCTTTTAGTAAACTGATGATGGAATTATACAATTCCGAAAAGATCTTCTTTATAATAAAAAATTTTAAGCTTTTAATAAGCGCCTTTTTTTATACCTTAATATACACGAACACCACGTGCTTTGTATTCAACAGGTATACTAGCCACTCCTGGATATCTCCACTTCATGGTTTGTTCCAGTTTCACTTTTAAAAATTATACTGAGCAGAAAATACTAAAGTAATTGTTTTTTATCTACAGGCAGTTTTACCTTGTCATGTAAGAGATAACGCAGCTTTCTATTATGTTTCAAAGCTTAATGTACTAAATTTTAACATTGTATGATATTAAAAACCATCATGGTACTTGCTTCATGTGGCATGAGGGTGGGGCACAAAGGGGAGCGAATGAAATAGGTTCATGTCTCTTTAAATTTCTAGAAAATAATATAAGCAGTCAAAATGAAGAAGATTTAAATGTTAAGAATAAATACTTTATTCCGACAACTGTGCAGGCCAAAACAAAAACAAATTCATAATAGCTCTTTATATTTATGCAATACAAAAATTAAATATAAATCCAATCACCCATAAATTTCTTGTTTCCGGCCATAGCCAAAATGAAGGTGATAGTGTATACGCGACAATAGAAAAGGCAATAAAACTATACAGAAAATCAAGCCCTATTTACGTTCCTGATCAGTATGCTTGCATTATAAGATCAACAAAAAAACCGGAAAACATATAAAGTAAACGAACTTTGTTTTAAGGATTTTATGGAGTTAAAAAAATTAACTTCTGACTTGTTTGTGAATATCCCTAAAAATGTAAAAACTTCGTCATTAAGGGTAATCAAATTAGAAAAAAAAAATCCAAATACATTATTTTATAAAAATTCTTTTGAAGATACAGATTTCTGCTAAGCGGAAATTATTAGTTCAAGAAAAACTGTTAGTATAGAACAATCAAAATAAAAAAACGCATATTCCACGAAACCTGGTATATCAGAGGCAAAAAAGCAGGTTTGATATCATTAGTCGAAAAGGATATTATTTTGATTTTTACAATAATTTGTAATGCTTTAATCAAATTTTTTAACGATTTTAGGTATGTATTAACTAATTATAAATTAGGTTAACATTGTTACAACTTGAAAACATTTACTCATTTTTATTTCAAAACCGTTGCATGTATTTTTTTTTATAACAATAAATAAACAGTTTGAAAAATCACAATTATGCCATTTAATTAAACCCAACTTAGCCTACTTATTGAAATAAAAATCACAAACTTGTTATTAATTAATGATTAGGTAATAAAAAAATAACTCCGAAAAAAACCTTAAAACTCTTCTCCTGCAAAAGTAGTTTTTTCGAGTTGTAACCCTTTTCTTCCGAACGATCGATATAGAATCTACACGTTTTTAAACGCCTTGATCATGGTTAAGCCTAGTTCGGATTATATGCTACTATTTTAGTCGAGTAGCGAGTAAATTAGTAACTAAACATGTCTGAACAACTCAAATTTAGTTGAATAGCTTAGTAACTAATTTAGTCGAGTTGATCCATTTTATTTTGTATTTTTCGGGCAAGTAGCACCTCACACTATGCGTCCGTGCTCTATGGTTCACCGGCTAAACAAGTCCGAACCAGTTGAATTAGTTGAGTTCATTAGTTGTCCCAAAAACTAATAGCTTCTTTTTATTAATCACACGAATTTCCTCAACCATCAATTCTAACACAGTCGTTACGATTAGCTTAATCAGTGTATTTACTTTACTGCTTTATAGCACCGACCATACTCTAGACCTTTCACGTAAATGGTCAAGGTCAAGACAGCAAATTACTTGCCTTTCCAATATAAAGATGTCGCCTTCACTCAACTGACTTGTCATATTTAACAATTGACATTGACAATTAAATTGTAGGCTATTTTTTTATTTACTTAAATGTAAATAGTTGTTTACACAATGCGTTCGATCATCCCGTGTTGTTTCCACATGTTAAAAAACAATATTTTGCTTCATAGATTCCCAAATTCTAAAAAGCATGTTAATAGATTTCAGTTTTGGTTGCAGAAAATAAATAATCCTGAACTTTATTTAATGAATCCTGAAAAAGTTTATTCCAATAGACGAGTGTGTCATCAACATTTCGAGAATATATATTTTTCGGAAAAAATCCTACAAATTATTCTTTCAAAATTTTCATTTAACTAAATGTTAAACATTTATTTATTAAAAAACAGTGCTGTCACATGATATTAGTGTTTAGCCTTTTGAACAAATTGGAAAATGGAAATATTTGAAGTTTTTAGTAAAATTATGATTTTGTTTATATTGGTATTTCAGCCCTGATTACAACACTACCTACTACCAAAATTTTCAAATATATATTATCTTATAGTTATTATCTTATTAGTTATTATAATATTTCTCTTATAGTTATCTCCCAAGATCATTGTTACGCTCGATCAACGAGATGTATGGAGCAAGAACACTACAGAGACTACGCAGAAAATATGTTTCATGCACCATTATTTCCTTTTATAGAACTATTTAAAAAAAGCAGCAAAGAATACAATTCTGAAGTAACTGTTGACACTACCCTTTCTTTTAATGAAACTACAGGTGAGTAGTATGCAGTAGAGTGCATTTAAGTATATTGTTGTGGCTTATTCTTAACATTCTCCCTAAAAATTCAGAATGCCACAAACAAAAAGCTGTAGAAAAACACAACCTTAGTAAAAACAATACACAATGTACACTAAACACTGTAGTCAACCTATCACAACATAAATATGAATGCAAAGGAGAGCTGAAGGCACAGGTCATACAGACAACTTGTAGTCAAACAACTATTTAGTTGTGTATTAAACCTATAGCAATATATTGAAGTGTGGCCCAAAAATTTCAAAATGGTAGAATATCCCTAGGCACCCTCTTATTTTTTTTACTTTGCCTAATAGAAGTAAATCCCTAAAGTTTCAATGTCATAGGTGGAGTGGAAAGCAGTGCTCAAAGTCTTCAAAGTTTTGAAAATTTCGCAATTTCGTCGAATTTTCAAAAATTAATATCTTATATTATTTTTTTGTTTCAGATGCTGAAATTGTGAAAATTGTGCATGTAAAGATTTAAGTAATTGATATATATATATATATATATATATAATATATATATATATATATATATATTATATATATATATATATATATATATATAAACTGATAATATTTGTCTTAAAAGACTATTTTGTTACTAGTAGAAAATACGAGTCAAGTGCAAAAAGTGAACAGAAGAAGGAACTGTGATTTGTGCATGTGCGTAGTCATGGCTTCGCCCTCCACTTCAACGCGTAAAGCAGACAATATTTTTTTAATTGGAATAAGAGAATTAGAACCCATATCTCAGTTGAACCAACTACCTTCTGTAAGGCAAGTTCTTCTCAGATTTCATTTTTTCCTAAACGAGAAAAAATCCATAAGGAATGCTAGCCACTTAACCTTGGAAGAAGTGATGTCAGTATGGCAAAAGGCTGCGATTCCTACCAGATTAAAAAAACATTGTATTGAAAAAGTTGAGAAAATACACAATGAATGGCTTATGCTAAAGAAAAATAAAGGAAGAAACTCCGATGCCCAGAACAAAAGACAAAATCTGTTTGTAGAGCAGCTCGATCAGCTTTTTGATATTGCTCACAGTGAAGCCCTGGTTATGTGTAAAGTAGATGAGGACAGACAGTTTCTAATAGATCAAAGAACTGACAGAAAAATGATCATAACATCAGAAGACAAGGAATATAAAAAAAAACAGGAGAGAATCCTTGAAAGAAAGTTAAAAGAACAAAAAAGACTTCAAAAAGCTCAAGAGGGAACCGCTTCGCCTCTGGTGACTCCGACTGCTTCCTGCCAAAGTTCAGAGGATGATTCATCAGATGAGTGTACTCCAGTAAAACACAGCTCATCAGAAGAAGAGCTGTATAAACCATCATCATCATCTTCGGCATCCCAAAGAAACAAAAGAGATTCACACACAGACTTGTCATCTCCACCAATCGCAAAGAGAAGTTTGTTTTCCACACATGTTGTTAGTGCATTGGATCGCAACAAAGTTTCTGATAGGGAAGCTTTAAGATTAATGGCTCCTATCGCAGCAGCTCTCGGTCATGATCCCAGTGAATTGCCGCTCTCAAGAAGCACTATTCAACGGAAAGGAAGGAAGCACGAAAAACTATATTTCAAACTATTAAAGAATCTACCTCTTTTGATAATCCCGTCATTGTACACTGGGATGGAAAAATTCTTCCTGATATTTTGGGAAGTGACAAGGTAGACCGTTTGCCTGTCATAGTATCTTGTCCTGCTGACAATACAGATAAATTGCTTGGTGTACCAAAATTAGTTGGTGGTACTGGTGAAAATTCAGCTAATGCTGTTTACAAAAAGCTTACTGAATGGGGTTTGGGTAAAAAGGTAGTGGGTATGTGTTTTGACACAACATCTGTAAACACAGGGTTGAAAAATGGAGCTTGTGTTCTGATTGAACACCTAGTTGAAGGAGAATTGTTATGGCTAGCATGCAGACACCATGTTTTAGAGATTGTACTCAGTAAAGTATTTACTTTCTGTTTTGGTCCCTCCAGTTCACCTGATATACCTATATTCAAAAGATTCAAAGCAGCATGGCAATATATCAGACAAGATAGTTATCAGTCTTTGGGAAACATTCCTGGCAGTGAAGATTTTAAACAATCTGCAGTTGATGTTCTCCAAGTTGCCTTAAAAGGCAAAAGTCAGCCTCGGGATGACTATATGGAGTTGATTGAGCTGGCTTTAATTGCTTTAGGCCACACTCCAGCCAAAATTCATTGGAGAGCTCCTGGTGCGGTACACCACGCCCGTTGGATGGCTAAGTTGTTATATGGCATCAAAATCTATTTGTTTCGTGATGACAGTGGTTTCGTGACAACGCAAAGGGAGAAAGCTCAGCTTGAACGCTTTGTGAAATTTGGAGTTCTTGTCTACGTCAAGTACTGGGTAGAAGCTCCTTTAGCTTCAAATGCTCCATGGTCAGATCTCTCACTGTGGAATGATATGACAAAGTACCATGATATTGATCCTGAAGTAACTGAAATTGTCAAAAAGGCTTTCAAATCTCATCTTTGGTATCTTTCGGATGAGTTGGTTGGTTTGAGTCTGTTCTCAAAAAAAGTATCTGTTGATGATAAGGTGGAAATCGTTGAAAAAATGAAATGTGAGCCTGCTGAACGGAAAGTGAGAGGCAATTCAGCACTCCTAACTGAGAAAGCGCGTTTGGCTGATTTTGCTTCAAAAAGATCACTGCAGTTACTTGAGAAATTGGAAATCAATACCAATTTTTTCACCAAAACCCCAGATGAATGGACCGATGACCAAGAGTATATCAAAGGTCAAATCATCATCAGAAATCTGAAAGTTGTTAATGACTTGGCTGAAAGAGGAGTAAAGCTGTTTGAAGAGTTTAACAAGCTGTTAACAAATGATGAAGATGAAAAGCAGGTGCTTCTCCAGGTCATAGAAGCTAACAGAAAGATGGTGCCTACAAAGACTACAAAACAAGCGATCGTCGATAGTTTGAAAATATCAACAAAGATTGATCGCCCACAGCAAATTCTTTTCATGAATATCATTGCATTGTTTTATTGTACCTTTATACTGTAAATAAAATACATTTAGTTTACTTACTTTGAGCTGTTTTTTCTTGATTTTTAATTCCCTCAAATATTCCGATTTTCTAAAATTATACCCAACATAAAATGTCTTTGAGCACTCCTTTCCAAATGGAATATCATCTTGAAATTTTGCATAAATACTATTAATATTATAAGTAAAAATGTTAGAGGGTGCCCAGGTGTCTAATATAACTTTGAAAAATTAACATTATAATGTGGGCCACCCTACTGTCAACTCGATAGTTGCTCGACTAAAAAATTAAAAGAGCTCCTTGATCACCTTTTGACTGAATAGTAGAACAACTATCAATAATCAACTCAATTTCCACGGTATTAGATGGCCCAACGCATACACTCAACTCAACAGTTGTTTAACAATTGTTCAGCTGAGAGTAGCAACTGGCTAAATCATTATGGACGTCTTATATACAGCTTTTTAGTTCTTTTTTTATATTTTCTAATTCTTTTACCATTTTGTTTGTATCGTTTCACATGTTTGGGTATAAAGGTTATTTAACTTTTTTTTGGCATCAACAGATGCCAAACATTCAACCTCAAAAGTTCAAATGGAACTCTTAAGTTAGTCAATCTCAATGTAATCAAATGAACTTTTTCTGAAGACAATTGACACAGGAAACAGACCTCGAGAAAGTGGTACAAATGTTTAATGTTATAAATGTACAACTAAGTAGAAATCATTACAATTTTTAATTATTAAATTAAATTGTATCTTTACTATATTATTAAATGATATATTTTATCTTCAGAACAATGTCCTAAGAACATTTTAAGACAATGTGGAATTAGAAGAAATGATCTAACGCCTAAAAAAAAAAGAAACTTTATACTGATACAAAAAGTATAATCACACCAATATTTCAAAGTTATCTTTTAAAAAGCGATTCGTGGAATCAGAAAAATTCCAGAAAACATTTTTTCTACAAGAAAATATTGACAAACTGAACCATATGTCATCTTTATTATTCAAATGTTAATTCAGAGAAACAGATAAATCTAAAAAGCAACGTCGTTTTACTATGGATGAGAAAATAATGGATTTACACCTGTACAAACAAAGTGGTAGATCTTACCGCTTCTCATGTAAAATATTTATTTTACCTAGTAAAGCTACCTTAAATAGATTATTAATTAAAATTCATTTTGAACCTGACTGAAATAAAAACATTTTCCAGTCGTTGGAAAAAAAAGTTCATAAACTTGATAACACTGAAAAATTTGTGTCAGTAATTTTTGATGAAATGAGTCTAATGCTAGGATTGAATTATAATAAAAGGCAGGGCTTTATTGAGGGTTTTGAGGATTTTGAAGATGGTAGAAGTACCTACATATGTGATCATGTTCTCTTTTTTATGATTAGAGGTATTAAATCAAATATAAAAGTTCCAATAAGCTACTGCTTTTCTAGTAGAGGAGCAAAATCCACCCAACTAAAAAACACCTTAACCAGTGTGTTGCAAAATGTTATAGCTATACGTTTGAAGTCCATAACAGTAATATGAGACCAAGTTGGTGTAAATGAGTGTGTTAAATTCTTTAATGAAAGACAGAAAAAAGAAATACTTGGAACAGGGAAGAAATGACAAATATGAATATGGTTTTTTTTTTAAAGGAGATTTCAAAATTTATCCAATACTGGATCCACGTCATTGGTTAAAAGAAATAAGGAATAATCTTCTAAAAAAGATTTACAATACATGTTTCAAAATACAAAAAAAGTTGCAAATTGGCAACATACTAATTCATTATATGAAAATGATTGTGCTTCTGGAAATAATGAAGGCTTAACCTTCTACCATGTAGGTGGTGCCCACATGACCCCGACTGAATTCAAATTACGCGTAATTTTTTATTTTTGTTGTTATAGATTTGTGACTCGCATCTACCTTTAAGTTACAGTGACATCGATCGCTTCACTTATTGACAAGTTTTTCGAAAACTTGAAGCAAGGTTTTTGAAGAACTTCTTAACAATTTATCGATTTTGTCCATCGAAAGTAGGAGAGAGGTTGTGTCAAACTCATTTGAGGTTGAGGGTTGAGGCTATCTTCAGTTTCCGTAATTGGCTTTTGTGGAAAGAGGTTGTATTATAATAGTTCTGTTCCTATCCTTATAAACTTTAATTTAATTTTAAGTTGTATATAAATCATTTTTATTGTATATAATCAATTGAAAAAAAAACAAAGTTTAAAGAGGTTTAATAATGGGAGATAGCACAGGGGGGTTGGCCCTCCTAGTGTTGATTTAGAATGCAATATAAATATAAATTTAGACAAAACATTTGTTGGAAATAATGATAATTCGGAGACCACCAATCAACATGAGAATAAAAAAGATAAAAAACAGTATTTATATCAATATACCGACACTGGCCCATTTGAGGTCTATATGGAATCAAAAACAATATCGTCGGAAATTATAGTTTTTTAAAGCTAGTAAAATATATACATGATAAGAAAATTGGAAATATACAAAAAATTAATAAAAAGGTAAAAAACCGAATTAGCGTTATTTTTAAGATATGGGAATGTGCTAATAAATTCGTTTCAAATATAGAGATTAAAAATGATGGATATGAACTCTTTATTCCTGCTAATAAAGTAACTTGTAGGGGTGTAGTAAATAATGTTGATGCAAGTATTTCTGATGTTGAATTAATTAGTTTTTCGGGTACATCCTCAGTAAATATTAAAATTTTGAAGGCAAGACGTTTTAAAAGAAAATCAAAATATGATTCAGGCAAATACACAAATACAGAGTTGCTTTTACCTTTCAGGAAAACAAATTTCAAAAGAGGTTTCTATGTATGGGTTTCCCTTTAGGGTAAAGCCATATATGATTCCGGTGGTTCAATGCTATCATTGTTTTCGTTTTGGCCATACAAAAAATCAATGCAGAGGGGATAAAAAATGTAAAAATTGTGCTGATAAAGCACATGAAGGTGAATGTATGATGAAATGTCTCCATTGTAGTAGTAATTTTCATGTAAGTACTTTTAAAGAGTGTCTTGAATATGTCTGACAACAGAATATTAAAGCTGTTATGTCATTAGATAATCTCTCTTATTTTGAGGCAAGTGAAAGGTATCCAAATGTCTCCAATAAAAAGTTATCAAAAGAAAATACATTTAGAGTAAGCAGGACGAATTTCCACCTCTATCAAATCAGGTTAATATACCTGACAGAATTCCAATTAATGGGCGATGGATAGAAATAATTCGAAGTAACCCAGAACAGTGGTTTAGCAAAAAAACAGAAAATAGTGGGAACAAAAATAAAAGAAAAATTAACGAGTCAAATATGACAGAGAGCTTCATAATCAGAATTTAATATCTCCAAATGGGAGATTTGAAGGGGGAACCTTCTCTGTTAGTTCTTAAATTCCTATCCTTGGATGTTCACGTACAGAACAACTAGAGAGGGAAACGGAAAAAATATTGAATGAAATACTAAAAAAACTGAATTGGAGACATAAGGAAGACCTAATCACCTACTTGAACAAGCTAATTACACATGAAACATCAACAAATAGAAAATTATTAGATCTAGATGGATCCCAAGAATCCATACATCCTACAATGGAACATAAAAAGTTTTAACAGTAATTATAATAGTCTAAAGATTTTTATACACGATTTTAACCCTAAAGTAATATTATTAAATGAAACATGGTTAAAAATAAATCATCATGTTTATTTAAGAGGGTATAAAATACATCGATTGGATAGATTAGATGGTTATGGTTAATCTCCTCGGAAATAACGAACAGATGTCAATGGGATGTGTTAGAGGACTCGGGTGGTAGTGATCATTTCCCAACGATGTGTAAAATACAGACAAAAATTCAACATACATCTATCCAAAAAAGTTACAAAAGAAACATTAAAAATGCCAATTGGGAAAAATACTGTTCAAAAATAGAAGAACTAATGAAAAGTGGGTGTAAAGAATATAGCACCTTTATGCAAATTATGAAGAAGGTGAGTGATGAAGAAATACCCTTTTTGGAAACAAAAAAAGCAGAAAAGTCCTCCATGGTGGGACACGGAATGCTCAAATTTAATTAAAATGAAAGAAAAAATCAAAAAATACAAAGAAGATGCAAGTACAGATAATTATATAGAAATCAAAAAAATCGTTGCCTACAGTAAAAAAATATTTAAAAATAAAAAAAGAAATAGTTTTAGATGCTTTTGTAAAGGATTAAACAGGGATACTCCTCTAGCAGAAATATGGCGAACTGTTAAACAGTTCTCCACATATCAAAATGCAATAATTCCCGCCAAACTTCCCAGCAAACAAATAGCTTTGGATATATTATATAAATTGGGAATTGATATACCAGATCCAGAAGTTACTGTTATCCAATCCAATGAGAATTTGGAGGAAATTTCTAGAGAGGAAATAATAAGTGTCATTAAAAAAAAGGATAAGGATACTGGCTTAGATCTAATAACATATAGTATGATTGGCAGACTTCCTCAGGTAGCATTAGAATCACTGTCAATAATATTTAATCAAATAATGAACATAAAAGCTGAATTTCCACAAGAATGGAAAAATACTCTTGTTATTCCTTTCTTAAAACCCTATAAAGATTCATTATGTGCAGACAACTATAGAAATATTGCCCTAGAGTCATGTGTGGGCAAAATACTCCAAAATATAATTAAATTAAGAATTGAGCAAGTAATTGAAAAAAATTGTATATTGAATCCAAAACAGTTAGGATTTAGAAGAAATAAAGGATGTAACGATAATTTAGCTTTAACAATAAATTATATTAGAACAGGATTTAGTAAAAATTTAAATACAATCGCAATTTTTTTGGATATTAGTAGGGCATATGATACAGTCAATACTTTTTTGCTATATAAATATCTAATAAAGTATGGTATTCCAACAACCTATACAGACCTAATTAAGCAATTCTTACTCAATAGAAATATTTATATTAAACAATATTGTTTAAT